GGCCACCACCATGATACCCAGGACACCCAGCTGCTGGCCTCTACCATGATGACCAGGACACCCAGCTGCTGGCCTCCACCATGACCAGGACACCCAGCTGCTGGCCTCCACCATTATGGCCAGGACACCCAGGTGCTGGCCACCACCATGATGGCCAGGACACCCAGGTGCTGGCCACCACCATGATATTCAGGGCCCAGGACGCGTAGATGTGTTCCGTCCTTGGGCAGGGAGGGAGTAGCGTATACTTGTAGATATATGGAGAGAGGAGGATGTAGAGGGAGTAGACCGTAGGAGGAGGAAAGGAAGAGAGAGAGAGAAGGAGAGAGAGAGAGAGAGAGAGAGAGAGAGAGAGAGAGAGAGAGAGGGGCTGAGGGATTAAGAAATACAACAAACTTCTACAAGTTTTCTGTTGGGAAAACTTGTGTTCCGTCATTTTAGCCAAAGTTAGAAGCCAGGGGGGTTATGGTAAGGGTGGTTATGGTAAGGGTGGTTATGGTAAGGGGGGTTATGGTAAGGGGGGGTTATGGTAAGGGGGTTATGGTAAGGGGGGTTATGGTAAGGGGGTTATGGTAAGGGGGGTTATGGTAAGGGGGGTTATGGTAAGGGGGGTTATGGTAAGGGGGGTTATGGTAAGGGGGGTTATGGTAAGGGTGGTTATGGTAAGGGTGGTTATGGTAAGGGTGGTTATGGTAAGGGGGGTTATGGTAAGGGGGTTATGGTAAGGGGGGTTATGGTAAGGGGGGTTATGGTAAGGGGGGTTATGGTAAGGGTGGTTAATGTAAGGGTGGTTATGGTAAGGGTGGTTATGGTAAGGGGGGTTATGGTAAGGGGGGTTATGGTAAGGGGGGTTATGGTAAGGGGGTTATGGTAAGGGGGGTTATGGTAAGGGGGGTTATGGTAAGGGGGTTATGGTAAGGGGAGTTATGGTAAGGGGGATTATGGTAAGGAGGGTTATTGTAAGGGGGTTATTGTAAGGGGGGTTATGGTTAGGGGGGTTATGGTTAGGGGGGTGTGGTAAGGGGGGTTATGGTAAGGGGGGTTATGGTAAGGGGGAGTTATGGTAAGGGGGTTATGGTAAGGGGGGTTAAGGTAAGGGGATTATGGTAAGGGGAGGGTTATGATAAGGGGGGTTATGGTAAGGAGGGGTTATGGTAAGGGGGGTTATGGTAAGGTTTGGGTTATGGTAAGGTGAGGGTTATGGTAAGGTGTTGGTTATGGTAAGGGGGTTATGGTAAGGGGGGTTATGCTAAGGAGGGGTTATGGTAAGGAGGGGTTATGGTAAGGGGGTTCATGGTAAGGGGGTTGTGGTAAGGGGGGTTATGGTAAGGGGAGGTTATGGTAAGGGGGTTATGGTAAGGGAGGTTATGGTAAGGGGGGTTATGGTAAGGAGGGGTTATGGTAAAGGGGTTTTGGTTATGGGGGGTTATGGTAAGGGGGTTATGGTAAGGGGGGTTATGGTTATGGGGGGTTATGGTAAGTAGGGGTTATGGTAAGGGGGGTTATGGTAAGGGGGTTATATTAAGGGGGGTTATGGTAAGGAGGGGTTATGGTAAGAGGGGTTATGGTATGGGGGTTATGGTAAGGGGGTTATATTAAGGGGGTTATGGTAAGGAGGGGTTATGGTAAGAGGGGTTATGGTATGGGGGTTATGGTAAGGGGGTTATTAAGGGGGGTTATGGTAAGGAGGGGTTATGGTAAGAGGGGTTATGGTAAGGGGGGTTATGGTAAGGGGGGTTATGGTAAGGAGGGGTTATAATAAGGGGGTTATGGTATGGGGGTTATGGTAAGGGGGGTTATGGTAAGGGGGGTTAAGAGAGGAGGCATCACTTACTAAACCACAGGATGGGCAGCAGAAGTGCCACGACTACATCACTTACTAAACCACAGGATGGGCAGCAGAAGTGCCACGACTACATCTTAGGCCTTAATTGTAAACTATTAAGTGTAAGTCACTAGCAAATTGTTCACGTAGCCTAAGACTGTAGTTTAGATACCTAAGTTAGATTAGGAATATAGCCATAAGTGTCCCGTTGCTCGGTTGATAGTGCACTCTGCTCACACACTGAGGTCCGTGGATCGATCCTCGGTATGGGTGGAAATTGGGCGTGTTTCCTTACACCTGCTGTCCCTGTTCACCTAGCAGCAAGTAGGTACCTGGGTGATAGCCGACTGGTGTGGGTCGCATCCTGGGGACAAAGATAATCTAAGTTGTCCAAAATGCTATGTATAACCAGCAGCTTTCTATACAGTATGTCAGTGATGTCAACTATGTCTGTATAAGTTGTATCATGTACTTGTAGAAGTGAAGATTATTATTAGACCGTGTAGTGCACAGGCAAGCAGTGGCCAGCTGTTATTATAATAAAAAAAGAAGCGCTAAGCCTGCAAGGGTCATAAGTAGTGGCTAACATACCGACAAGATGTGGAGAAAGATAATTATTTACAATTATTTACACTACAGCAAGGTACGTAGTGCTTAACGCCTCTCGCATAGATTTCAGATCTGGCCGAGAGGCGTTAAATACTACGTACTTTGAGGGTCATTCAGCGCAAGACGTAATGGAGGCTTGATCCTCCGTCTGATGAGCGCGAGACAGACACGCTTCCTATTTGTACTCACCTAGATGTCATCTGTGTATATACACTGGATTTACTGGTGGTGTAAATTGGCCAGGAGCTGAGGCTCAACCTCTGCAACCACATATTGGTGAGTATATGTGAGAAGCAACCTTCATAACCCTCGTATAGTAGACAGGCTTCAAACCTTAAAAAAATTATCCGTGTGGCTATATCTGGAATGTTATTATATCTCTGACGATGCGCTAAACCCGCTAAGGTCATAAAGCGCCTGGGGGAATGGGAAGCTGTCAGGTTTGATCCGAGGAATAGATGGCAGCTTCAGTTCCTTTGATCAAGTTTCTTCACCAGCAACAAGGTGCTTCACTACCCATATAATAATAATTATTATTAATTATTATTTTACCCCGAGGTGTCAATTCTGCTTAGAGGTTAATAATTCTCCCCATCCCCACGACGTCTGTCAGTTTCCTCCCTTCCTTCACAAGGTCTGTCAGTTTCCTCCCTTCCTTCACGAGGTCTGTCAGTTTCCTCCCTTCCTTCACGAGGTCTGTCAGTTTCCTCCCTTCCTTCACGAGGTCTGTCAGTTTCCTCCGTCTTGACTGTGCCTGCCAACAAACCTCATAAGACCACCAGGACTTAATTCTCAGTCAAGTCAGGCAAGAATGGGAATCTCATTTGGGGAAAACAAGGCTTGACATCCAGCTGGAGTAAACAGTACGTACTCTGCTGCTGCTGACTCACCACTGATAAATCCTTACCCAGGGCTCTTACTCACCGCGGCTTAGTACTGAACACGGAAAGCAGGATAATGTGAAGCTGAGAGAGAGAGAGAGAGAGAGAGAGAGAGAGAGAGAGAGAGAGGAGGAGAGAGAGAGAGAGAGAGAGAGAGACTGACTGACTGACTGACTGACTGACTTTCACAAAGTCAAGTGTTGGCCTGGCTTGTGTACATTATTCATGCGCACGTCGCATGCGGCTTTCATTCATTATGCTAATCAGCAGGTGTGACGCAAGCAGTTAGGTGCCTCCACCTGTATTGCTGCCTCTTGATCCAAGGAATTAAGAGCAACACTCTTCCTTCCCCAGGTCAAACCTCTGACACCCTTACGGTTTTACTGCTCCCTGCATGAATAATAATAATGAATATATTATAGTCATGGGGAGCACAAAACCCGTATGGCGGTTGTGGTCCAGTGTATTAATGTAACAGTAGTTTTATGTTCCGTGAGGTGTAAGGTGCCAGATCAACCAGGCTGTGATGGCGGTGACAGGGCCACCAGCAGAAATAACCTGGTTAACCAGGCTAGCACCAGACGAGCCTGGCCCATGGCCGGGCTCCGGGAGTAGAAGGACTCGAAACTCAAAGTTATGGCGGTTGTTGTCAATGTGGTGGATGGTAGTTTTGTGGTCATTGTATATGGTAGTTATGGTCGCTGATACTGTATGGTAGCTGTGGCAACATGGAGATAGTGCGGTAGTCAACCATGCAGTTTACGGCGTTAAAAATGTCAGTTGCCAGAGTAGAGAGAATTGAATTGAATCAATATATATTTGTCTTTTATTTAGACCAATATTATCAACAGCATCCAGAAAGCCTTTTTTCGAATGGAATATAGTGGAAACACACTCTATATGAAATATTTTATTTAGAAAATTGATCATTGATATAAATATACATTATATATATAGAAATATATGGCTCTATAACTCTACTGTCTTTAAACAAAATCATTATGTTCCTAGGGGAATGTTAATGATAAGATCAGCAGGTAGATGGGATGAAGTACCAGAAGACAACACCCCGCCCCTCCACCAGCACGCCCACACCAACTCAACCCACCAGCACGCCCACACCAACTCCACCCACCACCCTCACGTTGCTCTCTTCACAGTTCATCAAGGCAGCCTCGATAGGTAAGCTACTCTTGCTGCTAACGTCCAGGCAGTCCAACTCAGTCCTTCAAGTACTCGCACTCTACCATTCAGTTGTAGTAGTGTAGAACAAAGGTGTAGAACACTGTTGTAGAAGAACGTAGCACAATTATACAGAGCACGGAAGGGGGCAGGTGGACACGAGATGGAGACTTCTTGTTGACATTGCTGGTGGCGTGTTGGGTCCCTCGTGAGAGCAGCTCCAATCTGGATGCTCCGCTACGGTATAAGCGTCATACTTAAGCCGTCTGTAAAGAAAATAGAATAACTTTTTATAATTTGCAAACTAAATTAACTTGTTAACTTAAGAAATTTCCTCTAAAAAAATATGTAGAAATTATGGATAGAACAATTCAATAGCTTGAAACAACGTCGCTTGAGTTAAAAAAAATCAGGGACTTTAAAAATAAAGCCTCCTTGCCTTGTATAAATCATGGGTTTAGCTCAACTTATTAACGAGTTTTACATAAGATGAGAAACTTACCAGCAAGGGTTGGCAGGTGGGCGTGTACGGTGCTGGTTGCAAGTGTGAGGTGAACGAGGCTAGATGAGGTCAAGATGGCACTTTACGTGGCAGGGGCGCGGGAAGGGAGTGCCATGAGAGTGTGCCAAGTGTCTATCACACTGCTTCACTCCGGCAGCAATTGTTCACTACCCTAGCGCCCCAACTGACTGGACGCTGTTTCGTCGCTCCCGGAAACACAGCGGAGGCGACGAGGTCTGCGTCCCTTCTCAGGAACTCTCAACGAAGTCCATGTCCTCCTCGGAAGAGGAGTCATCGTCACTGGTGCCCAGGGCGTCCTCCAAGTCGTAGATGTAGTCGATAACAGACTGGATCAGCTCTAGCTTTGTGACTGGACGATCCTTGGGACAGAGGGGAACCAGGTGTTGGAGGCGCTCCAGGTACATAAGCACCTCAGCACCCTCAGTCTTGGGTGGAGCCTTGTGGACTTTGCCATCCATAACGGCTTGCACTGGTGACATGCAGCGTTGAGCCCTCATCTTCATGAACGTGTTGGAGTATATCACAAGAGGAGTAACTTCTGGTGTTCACTCACTGTGAGGGTAAGGAAACTGTACACAAACCCTGGAGTCGCGAGTATTTATGGGCGAGGATGAGCAAGACTCCGCCCAGAACGCAGCTCAGCCACTCACAAGGCTCTCAGCCGGGTGTGTGATGGGATGCTAAGCATCGAATTTGTTCTCTTTAACAAATCCACCCTATACCGTATTATTCCACTAAAGTGATCAATCTGAAGGCAATATAAGGAAAAATACATAACCAGCGTTTCAAGGAAGTAATTAATTTGCTTACGGTTGAGTATGAGAGAGTGTAATAGAGGGATGGCGATGAGGCATCATCAGTGGGATCTGGGAATGCAGCTGGCGGCGGTTGGTGACGTCGGCTGTGTGCGTCAATACTGGTGGTTGCCCTGTCGCACATCTGGCCTCATCTGTCCACCTTGGCCAGGTTCCCACGGGCCTCTATAACTGACCTGACCCGACCTCCAGGCCTGCTGCCTTCCCGTGACGACCTCCACACACACACACCACAAAAACCCACTTCCTCAGCGGCTGCTTCCGCCGGCACCGCCCACACACACACACACACACACACACACACACACACACACACACACACTCACACTCACAAGACCGTCATTTCGAGGTAAGTTATTATTCCGAAGATAATTTGTACCTGGTTGAGGGATACGCTGAAGATCGTTTCTAGTCACGGACTCTCACTTCACGTACTCAGTATCTGTATTCCTTACACAGGACATGTGCTATTTGCGTACTAATTGTAAACAAGACATATTGCTCCACATGTTTCGCCAGACACATGGCGCCTCCCCCCCTCTACCATCCCTCCTACTCTCTCTCATTCTTCCTCCCCCACCAACCCTCCTTCCTTCCCTTATTCTCTGTCCACCTCACCTTCCTTCTAGCTCCCCCATTGCTATTCTTATTTCTTGTATGAAGATATCCTCATTACCTTGCTGAAGTCTCTCACCTCAGGCGGACAGATTATAATACTGTATGTCTCTCACCTGTCTACTCCAGCCTCATAAACTCTCTTATATATATAATATATATATATATATATATATATATATATATATATATATATATATATATATATATATATATATATGATATGTTGTGTATCTTTATACGTATATGCTTCTAAACTGTTGTATTCTGAGCACCTCTGCAAAAGCAGTGATAATGTGTGAGTGTGGTGAAAGTGTTGAATGATGATGAAAGTATTTTCTTTTTGGGGATTTTTCTTTCTTTTTTGGGTCACCCTGCCTCGGTGGGAGACGACCGACTTGTTGAAATATATATATATATATATATATATATATATATATATATATATATATATATATATATATATATATATATATATATATATAGGGAAGAATGCCACCATTTTTCCTATTGTGTGCCCGGTATTAAGAGATGAGTAAGTGTTAATGACTGGTGAGTCAGCAGGATGAGTATTCACGCTCCGCTTACACCAGCTGCTGTAAACTCAAGAGGCATGCCTGTCTTAAAGCTCAGATGAAGATAAGCTTTATTCGAGTAGCCTACAAGTGCATTACACACTCGGTGAAGTAAACTTGTATACTTGTTGCGTCCACTCTTGTCCGTCCATTACTTGACGAGATAATGGGGAGCCAAGAAGGCCTCTTGCTGTTGGGGAATGTGATAGAATGGTAGACAGAAGCGTTAGTTGACAGATCTCGGGGTGGAAGTTGACAGACCTCTGAGCGGAACTGATAGAATTTGGGTGGGATGGGGATGGGGGGGAGTAAGGACAAATCTCCTATATGTAGCTACAGGTAACCTCGGGGTGGAATTAACAGACCTTGGGGAAGGGCTTGGCAGACTTTGTGGAAGGGCTTGGCAGACCTTGGGGAAGGGCTTGGCAGACCTTGGGGAAGGGCTGGGCAGACCTTGGGGAAGGGCTTGGGCAGACCTTGGGGAACGGACTGACCTCGACAGTTGAAGGAACGTACATAACTATTGCATAATACATCTAATATCTAAACATCGGTGAGGTCAGAGCGTGAACCAAGCAATGCAACTGTATTTTTAAGGGAAACTTATTTGTATGCGCATGAAGGGTTGTGTAACATTCGCTTACACAAGGTGATGAATGTTGAGTAACATTTATTCGCACTGTTAGTAATATGTGCTTAAAAATGAGTAACAGTCACTCATTCTCAAGGGTGAAGCTGGTGCTGTGAGTCACCATGAATATTTACCTGGAGTAGTTTCCAAAGGTCACACCCCCGTCCCCGCGGCACGGTCCCGGACCAAACTTCCTGGTATCTGGCCTGATCGATGAAACTGTTGGTGCCTGTCCCCTTCCCCCTCAGTCTAATATATACTCCACAGCTTGACTGATCTGGAACTATTTTGAGGAATCTGCCGAGTTTCCTCCTGAGGACAGCTATATTTTTGTTAGTAATTCCCTTTATGCATGAAGGAAGGGTGTTGAAGAGTCGTGGTCTCTTAATTAACACTTACTGAATTATCTCTCAGTGTACTTATCGCTCCCCTGTTTTTCATTGGAGGTATTTTGTACTGTTTGGCAAGCCTCTTGTGTTTATGTAGTTATTTCGGTGTGCAGGTTAGGAACCAATCTCTCCAGTATCTTCCAGGTGTCGATTATGATGCATCATTCTTGCCTTCTATTGAGTACAGTTCTAGGCACTTCAAGCGCTCCCGTTAATTTAGATGTTTGAAGGTTCTCTGTGCATTTTGCAGCTCAGTAATTTCGCCTGCCTAGAAGGGGGCCGTTAATTAATACACAGCAATATTCTGTTATAAAGAAAACGAGTGACCTGAAGAGGATTACTGGCTTGGCATCTCTTGTTTTGAAGGCTATAGGTACCTGGTAAAGTGTATGGTAGAGTTATAATTGAAAGAATTAAGAGTAAGACGGAGAATAGGATAGCAGATGAACAAGGAGGCTTTAGGAAAGGTAGGGGGTGTGTGGACCAGGTGTTTACAGTGAAACATATAAGTGAACAGTATTTAGATAAGGCTAAAGAGGTCTTTGTGGCATTTATGGATTTGGAAAAGGCGTATGACAGGGTGGATAGGGGGGCAATGTGGCAGATGTTGCAAGTGTATGGTGTAGGAGGTAGTTACTGAAAGCAGTGAAGAGTTTTTACGAGGATAGTGAGGCTCAAGTTAGAGTAATGTAGGAAAGAGGGAAATTTTTTCCCAGTAAAAGTAGGCCTTAGACAAGGATGTGTGATGTCACCGTGGTTGTTTAATATATTTATAGATGGGGTTGTAAGAGAAGTAAATGCGAGGGTCTTGGCAAGAGGCGTGGAGTTAAAAGATAAAGAATCACACACAAAGTGGGAGTTGTCACAGCTGCTCTTTGCTGATGACACTGTGCTCTTGGGAGATTCTGAAGAGAAGTTGCAGAGATTGGTGGATGAATTTGGTAGGGTGTGCAAAAGAAGAAATTAAAGGTGAATACAGGAAAGAGTAAGGTTATGAGGATAACAAAAAGATTAGGTGATGAAAGATTGAATATCAGATTGGAGGGAGAGAGTATGGAGGAGGTGAACGTATTCAGATATTTGGGAGTGGACGTGTCAGCAGATGGGTCTATGAAAGATGAGGTGAATCATAGAATTGATGAGGGAAAAAGAGTGAGTGGTGCACTTAGGAGTCTGTGGAGACAAAGAACTTTGTCCTTGGAGGCAAAGAGGGGAATGTATGAGAGTATAGTTTTACCAACGCTCTTATATGGGTGTGAAGCGTGGGTATGAATGTTGCAGCGAGGAGAAGGCTGGAGGCAGTGGAGATGTCATGTCTGAGGGCAATGTGTGGTGTGAATATAATGCAGAGAATTCGTAGTTTTGGAAGTTAGGAGGAGGTGCGGGATTACCAAAACTGTTGTCCAGAGGGCTGAGGAAGGGTTGTTGAGGTGGTTCGGACATGTAGAGAGAATGGAGCGAAACAGAATGACTTCAAGAGTGTATCAGTCTGTAGTGGAAGGAAGGCGGGGTAGGGGTCGGCCTAGGAAGGGTTGGGAGGGAGGGGGTAAAGGAGGTTTTGTGTGCGAGGGGCTTGGACTTCCAGCAGGCATGCGTGAGCGTGTTTGATAGGAGTGAATGGAGACAAATGGTTTTTTAATACTTGACGTGCTGTTGGAGTGTGAGCAAAGTAACATTTATGAAGGGATTCAGGGAAACCGGCAGGCCGGACTTGAGTCCTGGAGATGGGAAGTACAGTGCCTGCACTCTGAAGGAGGGGTGTTAATGTTGCAGTTTAAAAACTGTAGTGTAAAGCACCCTTCTGGCAAGACAGTGATGGAGTGAATGATGGTGAAAGTTTTTCTTTTTCGGGCCACCCTGCCTTGGTGGGAATCGGCCGGTGTGATAATAAAAATAAATAAGGTATCCAACCTATTATTTTCTTGCAGTTGCGGTAATAACATTGTCGTGCTTCTTGAACGTGAGATCTAACATTATAACTCCTAGGCCTCTCATGTCTGACTTGCGTTATATTGAGTAGTTTGAGTTGGTCTTGTACTCTGATCTTGTTTATATTTTCTCCATTCTTTCTTGACGTAGTAACTGAAATTTATTCTCAGTGAGCATAATTTTGTTGTCAGTAGCCTACTGGAAGACTTATTTTATTTAAATTCTTGTATCTGCGAAGGATGATACAGTGCTTCGGTTTATGTCCATGTGTGTCAAATTTGAGAATGAGAAAGAAAAGTGGGGCGAGTACCGTGTCTTGGGGGAGAGAACTCATCATTGTAGCAGCTACTGACTTCACTGTTTACTGTTACTCTTTGGATTCTGTGAGGAAGCTAAACATCTATCTGCTCACCTTCCCAATTATTCCTCTTGTTCGCATTTTGTATGTAACTATATCATTTTGCACTTGCCAAAGGCTTGTGCAAAGTTAATGTATACAACGTCTGCATTTTGCTTGTCTTTAAGTGCATTCAAGACCATGTCGTAATGATCCAGCAGTGGCAAAAGGTAGAAACGACCTGTTCTGAACCCATGTTGATCTGGGTTGTGCAACTGTTGTGATTCCATGTAATGTTCACTCTTGCTTCTTAAAACACTTTCAAAAATCTCGATGATGTGGATGTTAGGGCTTTTGGTGTTTAGAATTTTGCAGTTGCTTTACTACTACCACCTTTGTGGAGTGATTCAAAAAATCGTAATGACACGATTGCTGGTGGGAGACTCATCCGTAAAAACTTGCATTTGTGGTTGCAGTGGTGCCTATGCTAACCTTACTATTATGTATAAATATACCTAGTTGGATGAATCTTATTGTAGCGAGCTGGCCGAGTGGCTAACACGTCGGTCTGAAGTTTTACGACTTACCGCGATTTCAATCCCCGCCCCTACCGTGGTTTGTGGAGTGAAGATGTATCAGTGGATTTTAATGACAGTGGAATGACTCCAGTGTTTAGTCTTGTCTATCGTTATAAGAGTTTATTGCAATCTTTATGGATATGAAGTTCCACGAGTCTGAGCCTGGGGTGGAGTGCATGGCCATGCAATCAATGGCTTCTTCGAAGACGAATTGATATTAGAGATGTCTGCAGCATATAGCGTCACAGGGTGGTGATTCACCCTCATTCCAGCACATGGTAGAAGGACGCCCATC